GAACACATTTGTAGGAGTGCATGTAGTACGCACGTATGTGTGCCTGTGTGTGAAGTGAAAGCCCAGTGTTGGGCATCTTCCTCTATGCCTTTTCTGACTTATTCAAGACACGGTTTCTCTCTCTGTGAGTTCGAGGCCAGCCTGGTCTACAGAGCGAGTGCCAGGATAGGCTCCAAAGCTACACTGAGAAACCCTGTCTCAAAAAACAAAAACAAAACAACAACAACAAAAAGACACAGTTTCTCACTGAACCCAAGGCACACTTATTTGGTTAGGCTAAGCCGGTTGGCCATTAAGCCCAAAGGAGACTCCTTGTTACCCCTCCCAACTCCTGGGATTACAAGCCTGGCTTTTTCATATGAATTCTAGGGGACTGGATTTGGGTTCTCACTGTGCCTGTGTCATGCTCTTTACCAAGTGAACTATCTCCCCAGCCCTGCCACAAGCGTCATTCTGCAGACAGTTCACCTGCAACAGCTTTGTGGAAAGGTCTTGTGTAGACAATGTGATTGCTCCCTGACCACTGTATGTGGTCTCTCCTGACTTCTCACACCTGAGGGGCAGATGGTCAGATGGCATGGCCACTGTAATTCCCATTTCTGTAACACCATCTAGTGTTAACCTGCAGAAAACTATTCTGTCTTGATGGGGAACTTGCCTTTAGAAAACCTGCTTCTACTCACAGTGGTTGCCATTTCTTGAGAAGGAAAAGAAAACACATTTGAACAGCCCCTTTTAAGCCAGAGGTACACTGCCAGCACTGGCAGCTTCAATATAGCTTTGTAGTTTACAGTAGTTATTTCCAATCATGTATTCGTACTTTATTGAAAACATCCTTCAATGAAGTCCTATGCCTCGCAACACCTGTGTGTCTGCCTAGTCACTAATCATCTACATGTGTATCCACCAAGAGCCCATTCTCCCAGACACCTCTTCTCGGGGACACCCCCCCCCATTCCACTGACACTTCTCACAATGATGAATGGCAGCAAACAAAGACACAAACTTTGAAAACTGGCTGTGCCATTACATTGCATCTCATCACTATAAATACCAACAGCTAATACTCCATCCATGTCCACAGAAATATCAACCTCTTGCTGATGCCTGAGGAACAAAATTAGACTTCGAGGTGGCCTGGAACCTTGTTCACAGTTTAAATAGAATCTCCTTCACTTAGTCATGCCATCGGCAGCACGACCGATCTCTGCCCAGACTTCTGACTGGTTTCCTCAGAGCACACAGACTCTAGGCACTCTGCCACAAATGATGGGGCCTGTCCTCAGGCCCCATCCGGTTGTCAATTCCTCACCCTCACACTCAGTTGGAAACTCAAACTCTGATCTGACTGACAAAACCAACTAAAGTGTCACGTCTTTCAGGAAAGGTGACGAAGCACCCATGCTCTCCATTAAACGGTCCACAGGAACGAATGTCATTACATTATTACTTCTGCAGCTCTCCCATCTCACTATCCAGAAAAGCATGGGCAGACACACATCCTTCATCAGGAAGAACTAGGGGCCAGGCAGCAGTCTGTGTCTCAGTCATGCTCGGCTTTCTATCACCTCAGCTGTGGACTTGGGTTTTCACTCTGTGTGCTAGCTAGCATATATGCCACCACGTTCACCCTAGCTAGAGGATGCTGGGTGATGCTCACTTCCCTGGAGACCCATAGGTACAGTTTCATCTCCAACTCCATCTGAACTCAACTGCTCAGCCAGGCCGAGCACAAGAGCAGCCCAGAAAGTTCCCGGTACACAGGAAGAGCTGTAACTACCTCCAGGATCTGAAGAAAGACATCAAGACCCACGGGCCTCCTGGTGTCAGCGGCAGGGTTTGCTAAGGATGTTAGGAACAAAGGCAGATAGACAAGAAGTTTGCTACTAAGGTCAATTTTGAAAGAAGTTAAGAAAACCCTTGTGGGGATCGGTAACCTTGCTCAGGGGATGAGGAAAATCTCATCCACCTCAGAGGCCCAGGCAAGGGAGATGGGAGCCACTGTTGAGGGGCAGTGGCTTTCTGACCTGGATGGTTTATGTGATGACTAATTCTCAAATTTCTATTGTCATTGTCATTGTTCCTTTTTTTTGCTTGTTTTGGTGGTACAGGGACTAGAACCCAGGTCTCAGGAATACAAGGTCAGAAGAGGCACATTTTAGTCCAAGTGTTTACAAATGTACTAAAGGATGGAGGCAGAGTCGACACCCACAAACGCCCACCCACACCCCAGAAGCTCCAGGATAAGGCCAGCTGGAAGGTGAGTGAGGCTGACCGTCATTTTGACCTTGCAGCACTTTAATTCTAGAGACTATTTAGAAATGGAAGGAGCAACCCCTGCCGTCCGCCTCAGCTAGCAGAGCTAATAGGCTTCTAATTAATTTCCAGGAGATTGCTGTTATAACTAACAGGTTTTAAACATTTGGTTGATTGGGGAAAATGAATTGAATATAATGTATTTGATTTGGAAAATTAGTTTTCATTCTATGTGCTTACCATAATAGTGTTTATTTTAAGTTTACATGATTCCATTAAGAGTCCCAGAACACCGCTGGGCAGTTTTTCGTACTGACAGAGTCCTATCTGGCTTAAAAAGAAAAAAAAAAAATTTACATTTAGTTTTTTGTTGGCCTTTCTTTGAGGGTAGGTTAAATTCATTTTTATCCCCTGTGGCTTTCATAAAAATCTTTGCTCGATCATTTAGCAACAGGGACCAAATACTTCAAAATGATCACAGCGATTCTTCCGAGAAGCCGTCCAGTCCATCATCAGATGCGAATCCTCCCTAGGACGGCTGTGCAGGGTCCGGTGGAGCAGCCACACGGTGTTTACTAAGTTTCACTTGATTCCTCCTGACAACCATTTAAACAATGTATGTTGGGAAACGGCCCTCAAAGAGGCAGCGACAATGGCTGAGAACAGGGCTTTTATAGTTAGCTAATACTATTTTTAAAAGGAGAAATATTTCTTCCTGAAAGGATTAGAGGAAGGCTTATTATGGGAGACACCTGCAAACAAACCGAGTGACAGCAGATCTGTGCCATAACTGATAACTGAGTTATCCTCTACGTGAGACTCCATTTGGAGGGACAATAGCACCAAGACTCCAGAAATCGGCTAATCGGCGCCAAAGTAGTAAACGAACGGGTAAGTACACCAAGATTGTGTGAGTGGGTAAGTGATGAAGACCCTGGTGGATCTGGTGAAACTGAAGTAACAGCAGGACTAGAGTTTTCTCCACTCACAGTGCTGAGAATGTTTCACACTGACATCAAGAGGCACACATCAAGGCCCCACGTGTGACAGAAAAACACTTGAGGGATTCTAATTAGCAAGGCTCACTCTGCTAAACACACAGTGGGCCAGCCAGCTGTGGAAACTCAACCTTGGACTAGCTCACGGTCATGGGGAAAAAAACAGAACCCTTGGAAAATTCTTCTAGAAGTAATTAATGATCTCTGTCAAAAGACGTGGTTGAAGATATCTGTACTCTATGGGGTGGGGTGGGGTGTGAGGGGACAACTCTGTAGGGAAAGGTCACTCTTAGAGGATAAAGAACATAGCTCAATCCAGTAGGACACATTTTAAAAGTTAAGTTCCCAGAAGCAAAAGCACCTGGTGCGTTTATCTGAGGTACAAGGACCACACCTGTGAGCCCCAGGTAGGCGAAGTGTCCTCACCTATGGGCCATGCTGCTTGCAGTCAGAGCCTGGGATCCCTTTGTGCGTGACTAACAGTGATTCCAGGAATCACTGTAGCCTACTGTTGCCTTTATTTTTTATTTTTTTGACACAGCTAATTTTCCAAATTAAGTAATCAATCTGTTCTTTAGACCAGTGACTCAAAAGTGAACCTAAGCTTGGACCTGAAGAGTGATGAGCACAGAAGCAAAGGGGGAAGTCCAGCAAGACTCGGGCATAACTGAAGACCCCACTGTGACGCCTGCAGCAGTCTGGTGAGAACCCCGTAAACTGGCAGTTAGTCAGGACAGGGAAGAGGCCCCAATCTCATGGCAAGGGAGCCTCAAGCAGCTGGGATTTTTAACACAAACATAGCTTTTGATAGATGCATTTCTTCTCCAAAATAAACGCTTGGGGGAAAAAAACCAAAAGATCCCCTGCCTGAGTCACTGAAAAGTAGACACAATTAAATGACAGAAGAAAAGGAAACAAAACAGATAAAACCACAGGAGCAACAGCACCGAATAAGGAGATGAGCGATGAGATGACCCAACATGATTCGTTTGGACCTCAAGTTCACAGACAGAACAACAGGCTCAAAAGAAGGCATTTCTGTGGGACTCTTGTTTTTTTTCTTTAAAGACACCTTAAGACACAGCAATCAATGTGTGAAAAGAAAAGTTGCCTAGGAAAACAAAAGAAGACATTTTCTGAGAAGACTTTGATCCTGTACTCCTATTATTGGCTTAAACATGCCTGCAGTTAAAGCTTGGGCTCTGCAATAACCGCTCTTCCATTGTCCTTGCTAACAAAGTATTATTTTCACCTTATTACTGCTAATCTGCTCTTTGTAAGAAACCACACCTGGTTTTACCCCACCCCCTCAAAAAAAAAAAAAAAAAAAAAGAAACCAAAAAAAAAAAAGGTGCAGTAAATATTTGCCCTTTGTGGCAATACAATGCATAATTTAGTTAATCTGGGCTATCTTTGCGTGAGAGGCGATTGTTTCTATATTATGAAATGTGTTCACAGTAAATCAAATCCACGCCAGATACCTGGGAGGCAGACGGAAAGCCACTTACCAGCATGTAGCTGCCATGAACCAAGCCTAACGCGAAAGCACAGCCCCTCCTACACACACTATTACTCATGCTAGGGTAGCCTCCGAGTACCACACCTTCCTTCCTCAAACATGGCCTTTTATTAGGGAGCTTTACACATCTGCATTCCCCTTCCCCTCATGGAAAGGGCCTAGAAAAGAAAGAGGAGAGCACAGGCCCTTCGTTTCTGTGTGTGAGAACATGGCATCACTTTCCATACCTGGATGAAGTCTAGAAATGTCAGGGGAAGCAAGTCGTCCATGTGCCCGATGTCTTTGGAGAAGCGGTTTAAAATTCTTCCTGCAAGTACAGGATATGAGAAATTACACATCTCCCCAGACAGAACCTTTAAAGAAATAACTCGCAAACAAATCAAAACAATATTTTAAATGCATATGTATTTAATATATTAGGCATTCATACGAAATAAGCCGATGTCAATAGCAAAGAAAAAGAATATGGTATGCTATCTAAAGAGAAATAAAAATACCACCAAATGATGCTAGAAAGAGAATTGCAATGTGGCCCCGATTTAAAAAAAATACACACATATTTATGTATACACACCACCCCCCCACACACACCACGGGAAATGGGAAAAACTTGTGACAGTGTTGGGTTGATACAGTTGTAGATGTTCCTTCATTTCTGGGTCAATCCAAGTGAAAAATAGGTAGATTTAAAAAAAAATTACAGACATAGAAATTAATGAATCCCAATTGCGGTATTAGTTTCCTCTAATCATGGCAACTAATTTTTCTAAATATAAGTTGTAATATCAGTGTTTTCTTCTTAGGCTGTTTCCTTGGATCTTTTATCCCAGGAAATCTCAAAATGCTTCCCAGTGACAGGAAGCACTTGGAGGACAGAGTCATTATTTTCAGACAGGTGTCAAGGGAGACAGTCGCTGGCTTGAGCATCCAAGGAGACAAAAGGGAAGTCAGGCAGGGAAACAGAAACACTACTCCACGATTAAAGATCAGTTCCTACCATCCACTGCATTTCCTGTGAGAAGAACCAAAAAAAAAAAAAAAAAGTGTACAGTGAATTCTTGGGGGAGGCAGTTTCTAGCAAGCATCTATTATTCTGAATGATATAGTTTTAAAAATTAAATATGGAAGCATGGATGGAGAGATGAAGCAAGGAATGGAGGGTTAGAAGGGTGGAGGGAGGGAGGGAGGCTACCTGAGTTCAATTCCTAGGACCCATGTGTAGGAGAGAACCAAGTCCTTTAAGCTGTCATCTGACCGCCACATGAAATATACTTGTGTACACACACACACACACACACACACACACACACACACACACACACACACACACACACACATATTCTTTCCTCTGTCTCTCCTCTCGGATGGATGGATGGATGGATGGATGGCTGGATGGATGGATGGAGGGATGGAGGGATGGATGGATGGATGGATGGAGGGAGGGAGGAAGGGAGGGATGGATGGAGGGATGAGGGAGGGATGGAGGGATGGATGGAGGGATGGATGGAGGGATGGAGGGATGGATGGAGGGAGGAAGGGAGGGATGGATGGAGGGATGATGGAGGGAGGGATGGATGGATGGAGGGAGGGATGGATGGATGGATGGAGGGAAGGAGGGAGGAAGGGATGGAGGGATGGAGGGAAGGAGGAAGGGATGGAAGGAGGGATGAGGAATGGAGGGATGGATGGAGGGAGGGCGGGGTGGGGGGGTGGGGGGAGATGGGGAATGTGGTAAATTTTTGATTAAAAAGTACCAAGGAAACTACTACAAAACACAGTTTGAAACCTCTTCAACACTTCACAAGAGCACAAACCTCCGGTCACATCTTCCAGAGAAGACTGTTTCTAAAAAGACTCACATGAAAGTAGAAAATATGGGGCTGGAGAGACGGCTCCGTG